AAAAAATGCTGCATGCTCTATTTTTTATGTTTGCAGTGTACCGAAACGCAGACATCGTTTTCACATGAGTCTAATTGCACTGTGGGTGGGAGGGAATGTCTCTGCGGTGCCATTGACTTCAATGCACTGTCTTGCCCCCACTCGCCCCAGAAAGAAGGGGACGTTTTGTGAGCAATTGCTGTGTGTTCCAGCAGCTGCATCTTGATATAATTGCTGGCAGAATGCTGATCACAGGAGTAGCTGGCAGATCAAGCAGATACCTCTGGGTTTCTACTACCAGCAAGGTGCCCAAAACATGGGATGCTTGGTTAGTTGACCATGCATGAGTTCATGCCTCCCTTCTCCCACCATAGCAGCTACCCAGCTACTCAAGAGGTTCATTAGCCTGCTGTAGTAAAAAGGTTCTGCACAGGAAAAGCACAATGCAGTAGACTGAAGGGCTTTGTAGCATCTGTGACATATCTACCACACAAAGTGCAACAGATTGCTAATTAGATGCATGTATGTAACTGCAATGTAACTGCAAAAAGTGTGACTATCTTAGTACATGTCTCCCACTGTTTTCAATCACCTAATTACAGTATAATCAAGGGGGTGTGGTATAAAAATCCTAGAAAATGTAGTTTGAAGTGAAGCAGCAATCACAGACTTTTGGTGAGTGCATGCACTTTAGCTAAATCATGTGCATGTACTGTGGTTCAGGTCTGTGTGAACTCTGTACTGCCATGTATCAACAGTTGGTGACACAAAGACAGGTTGAAGTAAAAACATTTATATATTGCAGTTTACCAGCCAGGTGTGGTAGCTACATTAGTTCTCTTTTTTCTCTTAATTTCCACCTGGTGATCCTATCAGTAACACACTTCCTGTCCTAAGGTGACAAAGTTCACTCATCATTCTGTATCTTTGAAGGATCACAGTTGTCACCCAAGGACAGAAAGGAGCAATAGCCAATAGCAGGCTGGTTATTGCTCCAACCACTGCCTGATGTCAATTAGCAGAGCAGCAGATCTGAGAGAGAAAGTTCTCTTTCAGGTCTGCTCCTCTGTTGATTGACATTAGGCAATGGCCGCAGCAATAGACAGCCTGCTATTGGCTATTACAATTTAAAATAGGCAATAGCAGAATGACTATTGCTCCTGCAGAGGAGGAGACAAGACAGAGAAAGTTATCTCTCAGGTCCGCTCCTCTGTGACAAAGTAAACATGTAACGTCCCTTTTCTGCAACAAATTTTCATTCATAATGATCATTTAACTCATCCGAAAATAACGAAAATGCGGACTCTTCTAAATCCGAATGACAAAACAAATTGACTTTCAGACCCAAAAAACAAAATAACGAAACATCTGAAAAGAAACTTAACTCATTTTTTGCTGGCTTACATAAATATTTCCCCTCTAGTCCTGTTCTGGAGAGAAATTTTGTTTTGGTCTGTACCACTGACAATAATCATCAAGATAAATAAAGTGGGCAAATCTCCCCAGCGGAGACACAATTAGCAATAAAAACCCAGCAGATCCTCTTACACTTTCATACTCTATTTAAAACTAAAATAAAATGTTTTGCTATTTTCAAACTTTTTCATTGCACTGCAATTCAATATCACTATGGACTATCCTTAGCAGACTAAATAAGAGAAAATGAATATCTAATTACAGTGGATTCTAGTGACCTCAGACAAATTGGAGTTGCATGAGTTAACTGATAGCTAACTGATACAACTATGGCATAGAGTTCACTGCATCTAATTTGTTTTGCTCACTTTATCGGTAAAGCTACTGTTACGTTTCACTGAGACGAGACTAAAGCTTTAAAAATATTCGTAAAAATGAACACTGGCAGACTCTGGTGACTTTAGGCGAGTATGCCTAAATTTGCCCTCCAATGATAAATATGCCTCATCCTTATCGTAGAATAATAATATTCTTCCTACCAGTTCCAGTTTTACTCATCTCAACTTAATTTAAAAATCTAAAAATCTATGTGTTTTTAGTATGATTAGTTTTTCTTTCTTGGAAATAAAATGAATCACAAAATGAAACATTAATACCAGAGTAAGTAAAGGCAAGATAAAAGCGTGACAGGCTGATAACTTGGCAGCTGTTCAATTTGTGCTTTTGAGAATCTAACAAAATGAGAAATGCTGTTTTAAGCTTCACACCATGTCAGATAATAAGTCATTGAAATGTCCTTGAATTAATTGGTCAGCTACATGTTTCAGGCAACTCTTACAATGAAATTCCTAGGGAAGGAATAGCTGGGGCCTTTGCTTTGCCTAATGTGAGTGACTGAACACAATTACAGCTATTCATTTTGGTAAAAAGTATGCTTATAGATCAACAGCAAGTTTTTTTTCCCTACTCCCTTTAAATGATAACTTGGTTGCTTTGAAACATTTACACTACTTGCCAAGATCTTTGGCTTCGAATACAAGCTTTTCTGCCCTTACATAGAGCGTCAGCTGGTGCTTTTGTGGGTCATATGCAGACATCTCAGTCATACTTTACAGACCTTTTCATTTTTTTTGTTTGTTTGGCTGTTTGTTTTTGCCCCATTATAGGACATCGGGTTTAGATTATTGCAGGTTGTAGAAATCTAATACAAGTATGTATGTGAATTATTTTAAGAATCTCTTCATATTCATACTACTGCAGTTAATTGCTGGCTGAGTTTTTTTAGCTCATTCAGTGCGATTGAGTGATTTCTGTAGCAGGAGGAATCTCACAAGACAAGATTTTGTCAAAGTAGATAGTAGCAGCTATACTATCCAGACCGGGTCTCAGTGCAATGCTACAGTGCAGCTCCCATATAACCAGATATGCCCAGCTCCATGCATTTCACAAAAATAAATGGGTCATCGCCATCTAAATAAAAATATATTCTTTGACGGTCTTATCCTTATGCTTACATAGAAAATGTGCCCTGGGTATGTGACCTTTCAAAACATCTGGCCCTGTATTTATCCAGACTGACAGATAATGGTTTGTGTGAACATAACACAGTCATATAAAAATAGAAAAATCTAACTATACAGGCACCATAACACAAACCTACACATAAGTGTTATATATGGGACATACATTTGTATCTGTAAACCATATTTAATCTATCCACAATGGCAATCAGCACATTCCCCTAACATTGTTTATCAATTCAGTGGGGAGCTGTCTAGCTATGCAATGTTAGTTTTAGGTTTCAAGTGAATCAGCCTGAAACAGGCTTTTCTAAAAACCTTAATCACCATTCTTAAGTTGCTACAGTAGTGCAGCGTTTCTTCTCTGTGACAGATGTGCTGTTATTTAGCTGTATTCTCTCCCCACCAGTACAGAATTGCCAGCCTATGTCAGGCTGTAAGGTCTCTATGGACGTTGACCTGTCTACTATCCAAGCTCAGGGCTGATTACTGACATATCTTCGTAGCTGCTCAATGAGCGTCCATGAACAAAGTCTTATTTTTCTTTCAAGTAATCCCAACAGCACGTTTATTATATGACAGTGTTCTGAGTGTCCCTTATTAGCATTATGTAAAGGCAGGGATTAGGACAGCCTAACAGCCTGAAACTAACAATTATTGCAAAACTCTTAAAATTGACATCAGTTCATAAGTTATATTTCTAAATTAAAGGATGATCCCTGTTCAAGGGAAATTTTAAGCAAGTTAGAAAATCTCTCTGAAGCACTACCTATGGCCAGCCACAAGAGCATCCACTAAGTGTTAGGAGCATGCCTAATGCTCCTTTGCCTGTTGCCACCTTCCAGCTCTTTCATGGGGTTGCTTGTTGCCACTGCACCTATTCTAGACTTCTTCTCAGCTGTGGGCTAATGAGCCTGGCCACACACCCCTCAGCCTTGGGATTGGTTTGTGGCATTTTATTAAAGCATAAGAAACCCAGGGTTCTGGCATGTGATAGCCCTGTCTAGTTCTGTTTAGTTCTGTCTAGTTATGTCTGCACAGACCTGTATCCAGCCTTTTTTATATCTTGATGTGGCATACTGTTCCTGTCTTGTACCTTGCAACCAGTTTCTGTTTTTGTATTTTTCTACCAGTCCTGATCTCAGCCTGTCCCTGAAATAGTCTGTCTACTGCCAGTCAGTACTTCTGGTCTTTACCGGGAGCCCACCTGCAATAATATACAGTCAGAGTATATAGTTTTAAGTGCTGGAGCATCCAAGTACTGGTAGGCACACTTGCCTTAAGGGAAAGGAGGCTGCTAAAGGCGGAGTCACTTGACACTAAATACTATGAGTGTGAGTGTCTGCAGCTGGTCCTGACACCAAGGTCCTAATCCAGATGGCTGGAATTTGTGGAGCTAGGCCTTTTTAACATCGATGGCTGCCAGCTGTTTTGAAGGATGGCATGTTTGCCTCTGCTATGCAAACTGTGTCTCTGTCTCTCCAGCCTGCTGCCACTCTAACCTCTAGCACACACAGGAACGTGCACAATTTGGGGGGTTAGATTTATCTACACAGTAGCTATATATGTTAAACCAGGCAGGGTATGGAGTGTGTTGGGAAATATATGTGCTGGAAACTAGAAAAAATGAGTAAGGGGGTGCATTTTGATATTTTATTTTTTTTGCTATAGGACCTTGTCCCAGTACTGTCCCAGTATACATATAAATACCACTAACATTTGCGTCAAAGTAAATGTCAAATAAAATGATCCAAAAATCCATTATAGTTCCCATTTAGTTCTGTGTTGTCAGCTGTCAGTAAAGGTTATTCAGTACAATTGTACAGCTAGGTCATAAACAGTCTCTGCAGCCCTGGTCCTCATAGACATTCAACAAGATCAAATTGTAGGCTGACTGCAGTGTGTGGTGTGGGATAGAGAAGCGAACAAGGCTTGCGGCACATTGGGGTACTGTGGGGTTTAGGGAGCTACTGAGTGTTTGCGGTCTTTCACAAGCATTTACTTGAGACAGGAAGGAGAGCAAGGTAAGTATTGCAACCAGTTCATTAACACTGCTTGATAGCATGCATTTCAAAATCAACTTACATTGCAAAAGCCAGTAATATCATCACAGGAAGCAGAATGGCCAAAACATCTGCATGGCTCACAGATCCCACCAATGAGGGTGCCATTAACTCTTCTGTGCCCAGGCAAACAAGTCTGCAAAATATGAGTGGCATTGTTATACAGTTGTGCACTGTTTTCCTATTAGACAGAGACTGGCAGATAAATTAAAATATTACAGTCACAGCATTTTTCCTTTCCAAATGATTAATATGCAAGCCATGCTTTCCAACTGACCTTATTATCACCTTTAGCTGGAAGGCTAAGGAGAGCATAAACTTCATTTTTCTTCTGAAGAAGTGAGGAAAAGAAACAAAAAGGAAAGAGAGGGAAATAAAATAGATAGAAATAGAGTTTTTCAATAAATGTAAAGGAAAGGAAATAAGAAAAAGAGAACCAACAATGCTAGTGTTTATGGCACCAACAACAAAGGGGAGATGTGAAGGACATTATCTTCCATCTAGTCTTTTAAATACATTTGTCACGTCTTACATCTAAAGTATTTCAATCTGTGGTTAAATCTATAATATCTACATTTTATTACTAATAGATTATTCTTTCATGGATACAAGTCTCTCTAAAACACAATCACACTTTATATTAAAGTCAACCTTACAAACATGGAGGCTAACATTTCTGAGCTATCCTTCTGAAGATGATAGTTGACTGGCTATCGTACTGACCCATTTGCTTCAGTACCTTGACCACTGACCTGAAACAAGTATGCAGATCAGAACTTCTGACTTTTTAAAATTTGCCCTATCTGTTTACATCTTCCAGGTCAGTGATTTAATTTGTATTTTCGGAAGAAGATCAGCAATAGCAGCCCCAGTATTTCTCTTCTGACAGGGTTATTTTAACACAGCTGATTAAAAGAATGTAAGGGAATACCTTTAAAGGATCAGTGACCTAATCAAAAAGATTAATGCATAAAGGTTTGTAACCCATTATAATCAGTCAGCGTTTATATTTCTTTGGTCTTCAATGAACTGAAATCATGTAGGCTTCTAAGGGTTAGTGCACTGTATATTTATTATTTCCTAACCACTGAAGCCTGTGTTATCAGGTTTGAGTTCTAAAATAAATACACAGAACCCCTCAAAAACCAAAGCTGCACTGGCCAATGAAAACAAAAACAGTTTAAACAATAACAATATACACAATATTTGATTACTATTAGACAATGAAGTAATAACTTTAATGAAGCTTCCATTGCTTAATAAGGGACTTGTGGTGGTGGTTACCATCATTTTCAGCACCAAAAACACAGGGGGGTGTATGCCAGCCCCACACATTACTAATGGGGTTGCTTTACTAGAGGAATAGACACTGTTAACTTTGCAAAGTCAATGTTCACTGAGCTTGGCAAATAAGATGAAGCTGTGATCACTTCAATCAACCAATCAAACCCTATCAAAACACCTGTTTTTTTTCTTTATCTCGCACACATGATTGGGTTTTTAAAGTGAATCTAGGCTCCCTTATTTCCTGTTATTAATTTTGCAAAATGAAAATACATTTTTCAAAGTGAATATTCACTTTATTAAGTGAACAGCTTCTACTTCTGTATTAAATTAACGCAACGGCTGTATATTTCCTCTGCAATACCACGTGCTTAACCCCAGCAATTTACACTCACTGCATGTAAGGTAACAGTATTTGGAAGGCATTGGTGTGTTTATGTTGCTATTATTCTTGAACTGTATACTCCTAATATCATGTTATATGTTACATGTAGTGGAATATGTGCATTCTACCACAGGAAAATTATTCACAAGGAGACGGGAGACTTGTTAGTTCCTTTACCCATTTTGACGCAGAGCTTTGTGAGGATAGCCTGGCGTAGTTTATTGATTTGAATTATTTGGTAGTGCTTCATTGCATCTATGGCATTGCTTTGTAATATTAATACCATATTTTAACTATCTTATAAGTTGTTTTTGGATATATCTGGTGCCATTGTGTCTATAGTAACAGGGTTTTAATTTGAGGTATGGAACACTATTTGCAACCTACCTTCTGTGTATTGGGTGCATTTCACAGGTTGGTTCCTGTGGGTGGAGCAAAGAGCTATTCAATAGACATTCACCCAGCTTTATGAGGGAGTCATTATTCACAACCCTTCCACAAACTTTGTTTTAGCTTTTTGATAGAGTGAGTTACAGTCAGAACATCTGTCAGATTTATTTCTGTCCGTGTCCTCACTGGGGATATTTTTCATCACTTCCTGGTTCAGTGACACCAGGTCAATAAATAAGAGAATGCAGGTGTTACTTCAAAATGAAGACACAGAGAATTATAAAAGCCTGAGAAGTCTTCTATTTTCTTGCTGTCTATGTCCCCATAAGAGAAATGTCTCTTGATTTCCTCTACGTACAGCATTATGCTATTTGGATTGGGAGTGAGGGTACATTTCCCTAGTGGAGAGATTAGAAGCAATAAATACCTGACAAAAATGATTACCCATGTGAAAAGAAACATTGCTGAAACTTGGCTTTAATTGAGTTAAAACAAACAATATACACATTGTGTACATTATGTTCTGCACACTAATTTTAAGGCACATAGAGAAGTAAACTGTATCAGTCGATTCAGCTTTTAGCAGTACAATACTGTCAGGAGGCATACAATTGTATATGCAGTTTTTTTGTTATTTGTTACTCTTTACCTACTTTGCACAGTAATTTAATATGCTTCCTCCTACTGTTTTGGATTACAGGTTATTTGGAGTTAGGTTACACATAAGTATTCTTATTTAATAATGTAACGCACGTAGTAACATATGGGGACAAAGCTGTCAACAACCATTCAAAATCTATTTAAATCTGCTTTGTTTTAATACATATACACAATAGTGGAAAATAGATATAGAAAACTGGCGTAGCAAGGAGAGAGGCTAATTTGAGAGTACAAAATTTCATAGATCAGACATACTCAGGAACATCAGTGCTTACTTCACAAGATGTACCGCTGTATCCTGGAGGGCACTGGCACATCTCTACATCAAATGCTTTTTTTTCACCAGATGAAGATTCATCAGCCACTTCCAGGGTAACAGAACTCAGTCTAGAAAAAAATAACAGAAAATAATTAAAATACGTGTTGGTCAAATAAGTGTTTTAAAATAAACAAGTCATCTTCTTGATCTCAGTGTTTGTTAGCTTAAACAAATACGATATAGTGGCTATTTTGCAGTGTTAAATTCTGTATTATATTTGCTTTTATCCTGCTGGAACACCATTTCTTATATTTAATATTATAATTACAGTCCAGAGAAGTGTGGTTTATATTTACGGCAAGCTTTCAACCAGCCAAATGACACAAAATTAAACCCATAAAATGAAATTATGAAACCCTGTGTGTTTATTTTCATAACAGGTCAGAGACATCCTGTATTTTTGTTAAATATCCCATCTGCCCTACACATTCCTAAATAATAAAAGCACAGGTTTCATGGTATATTGTCAGCTGCAGAAACTAAAAACCTGGCTCCCGTTTTCCTACCGCAATTTTTTCAAGAGCAATTTTTGCCAACCCTTGGTGCATGTGTTTCTATGATAAAATTTACTATTTTAGTATAAAGTATCGTAAATGACATGATATACCATGTAAAATATAAACTGAAGTGGGTACAGTCAAAGTAAAGTATTGCAGTGGTTCTAAAGGATATGAGTTTGTGCTGTGACCAGCATAACTAGTATGACAAGGCAGTCAATGTCTTAAAACAAGCTCACAACAATTTTGCATGTGATTTTTTTCTTTTATTTAGAAATAATTTGGCAGCTTAAAAGCCACCCAATCACTTCTATAAGTTGTAGAAGTGTTCTCCCTCTCCTGCCATTGATACCCTTTTCCTGGTCCTGGGGCACACCTGGATCCTCTTTGAGCCCTGGATTTCAGCAGAACACCTCAAAATTGCAAAACTGACAACATTGGTTCACCAATTTCCTGTACGAATCCAGAAGAGCCTTAAACAGCTTTAAACATTTCTGAGTTCAGTTTTATTGTGGCAGTTTTCTTAGCCAGTTGAACAGCAAATTGGGAGCTCTCAGATTTCAATTTCTCCCACCATTACATCTTTATTGCCACAAGATCTTCTCAGTCTTTTAAGTTGAATGACACCCAGCATTGATCAATCTATCTAGAAGACTGAGGTCAACACTGTAAAGGTAGAGAACCATGGTTCCTCATCCATCCTTGAGCATCACCACGGCACCCTTCATTTACAGTGTATTGATACAGAGAGTAGTGCTGATATTACTCTGTAAGCATTGCTTTATTGCATTTGAAGGACCGCCCACCTCTGGAAAAAGACAGAAGAGGAAGACCCAGCACACCATGTAACAAGTCTAAAGACATTGTAAAAGTATATTTTGGGAGAAGGGGGAACTCATGGGGGGGTTGATCAGATGCTGGGGGCTGGATGTGGAGCGAGGCTTTAATAAATGTCTGTATTACCTTGACACAATTTCATCTGTTATATACATTTTGGATATCATATTGTTTGTATGTGCACACAAAATTTTATAGGATTTTTTTCGTTGAAAATATTTCTTAAACAGCTCATGTAAGGTTTGTATTTTATAGATAATTTAGAAAATATATGGCTGGGGGGGAAGGAGGGTTAGTAAAAGTCCATAATCAAAAATATGTACTTTAGAACATGTTTGAACTGAAAAATAGACCTGGCCTCATTTATTCTTTGAACCTGTGCTTCCTCCACTAGTCTTACTTCTTGTATATTCCCCCACAACGTGGGCAGCCCTGACATCAGGAAACAAAGCCCTAGCTCCACCAAGATGGCCACCTCCACCCAGAGACACAGTGCAGAACAAGACATGGTATGTCCAGAATGGGGAAAATATTATAGAGGCTATAAGCAACTAGTCAGTTTTCCTCTGCTTGCCTTTTTAGGCACAGACCCCATATTGCCCCTTTAAATCATGCCAGCAAGGTATATCCAAATATTCTTTCATTCCTAGAGTGACAATGGTTACTTAGAGGTCTATTCACTAAGCTGCCGAAGGATCTAGCCATAGCTTCGGCTGATTCTTCGGCTAGCTTCGGCCCCAGGACCCCTTCGGTTCAGTAGAACTGAAGGGCTGCTGTACGGGCTATTCACTATAGCCCGTACAGCTCCCGAAGTCATATGCTTCAGCTCAGCGGCATTCAGCGGCATTCGGCGGCATTCGCTCAGCGGCATTCGGCTATTTACTCACTGCTGTTCGGCATCTATGAGAATAGACTGAACAGCAGCGAGTAGCCTGCCAGAGGTTCGACTTAGTCGATCCAGATGTTGGATCGGCTGAGTCGATCTCCTTCTGCACTTCAGGTAGGCCGAACATGCTGAGCATGTTCGGCCGACCCGAAGCCACACGAAGCCACCTGATGTACGGCTGATTTCAGCTGTTGTACAGCTGGAATCAGCTGTACCAGCCTGAAGTGAATAGCCGAACAGCGTTCGGCTCACTTCGCTTGGGGTCGGTTAGTCACTCGGCTGCCTACGGCAGCTTAGTGAATAGACCCTTTAGTTTAGCTGCCATGTTGTCACCCTTTTCTATCTATTCCAAAGTTGGACTACATACAGTGCCACATTTAACTATAGTCAACTAACTATAAATAAATAAATAATAAGTAATGTGCCCAGTGCAGAGAAAGAAAACATGCACAAAATATGGGAAAACTGTACTTTTTCTTTCTCTGCAAATAAACTATCTAATCCTATTTACTTGCAATGCTATATAAAAACAAAGCATACCTTTGTTACAGTACTGTATAGCTCTGCTTGAAGAAAATAAAAGTGGGAAAAAGATTTAGTAATATGTTTTATTTACTTGAATGATATCATTTTTATAACTTAAAGTTCACTTCATCTGGTAAGCCTACCCTCCCTAGAACACCTACCTTATCTTACCTAGACCCCCTATCATTTACCTCTCCATGATATTGGTAGCCTCCCATAGTGTTTACATTCCTTGGCCCAGAAGCAGTGGTGGCTGGGCCTGCAATGAGGAGGGTCCGAAAAGCATAAGGCTGTTAGCATAGAGGCCGAGAGTTTCAGTACAGAGGCCCAAATAAAGGCACTCTTGTGTGTAATGAAGTGAAGTTTAATATTAAAGGAGAACTATGAGGTGAGAGATTTTCACCCAACCTCATAGTTCGAGCCAACGTGTGAAAATGAAACTGTCACACTTCAGCTCTATTCATCGGGAAATGAGCAAACGCATACCGTCGCTCGCTCACTTTCCAATCATCTCCCTGCAGAGAGTGGTGACTGAGAGTCAGTCACCGCTCCCCCCTGGTGTTCCCCCCTCCCCTCTCCGATCCTCCAGCGCTGACTGGAGGAACGGATGGGGCGGACATAGCCAGCTGGATGGATCTCAACAGTATTGTCAGAATCCAACCCGGCTGTGGCGTTCTCAGTATATAGCTTGCTAAAGCTCGCTTTATACTGAGCTTTGGGTCATGGGAGGACGTTAGTATATGTCCTCCCATGACCCTAAGAGAACTATGGGATAAAAAGGCTACCCCATAGTTCTCTTTTAAGTGTTTCAGTCCTACATTACTTTAAAACACAAAAAATGGATTGCTTCAAACCATTGCACTATGTACACTGATCTATTGACATTACATTGCCAAAACTGTGGAACTCTGTACATTGTATTATACAGTACATTCATATCACTAGTACATTTTTAAGAAATTTGGTATTCATACTCTTCAATAAATACACTTTTTCTAGTATATCATAAAACAAAACAAATAAAGAGGACCCTCCTGCTATGTGCCTTTGTATAATCTGAACTATGGGACATTGTTACAGGTAGATAGGGATATCAGGTAGGTGGGACATCACAAAGTAGCTTAACACTGACAATACACTGTTAGGGCAGAGCATGGGTTCTCTGCAAACCCAATCTGCTTGTGGTATGAAGATACCACTGCATAAGGCTGTACACTGCCATAGCCACCAGCTACAAATAATGCTCCTCCTAACCTCTAAACTTAGGTCAGGTGGCTTAGAATTGCTAACAACTAGGGCTTTCCCAGCCCCTCACTATAAAAAGGCAGGGTTTTCAGCAGCCATATAGAAAATGTGTTTAGCTCGGAAAGGGATAAAGTGCATAAGAACAGATAAGTGTGGGGCTTGTAAGCACTGGTTTTAAACCCTAACTGAAGTTGCTTTAGGGAGAAAATGCTGTGTATCGTTTTAAATGTGGGTGTGAGGGAGGAAAATATTTTATATCTAAATGCTGCTGAGTGTTGATGTGTGTCCTGCAACTTCCGTACAGCCTCTCGAACATGTAGTGTCTACAATAATACCAGGCTGCATGTGTGTGTTTAAAAGGACATATTTTCTATTCGTTTACTGGCTGTATTTTCTTTCAGTCAGTCCTCAAGTCCACATGCATTTCACTGGTAAGCGGCTGCATGTATATTTTCACACAGCCTATTTCTTAATTGTTGCAGACTGCAATATTTAATAAAGGCCTTTTTTGAGAAGGCATGTGATTTACAGACAAGAAATTGTGGGAGACCAGGACAGAGCTTTGTCATACCACTGATTGCCTTGATAAGGACCTTTTATATTAGTATCATCAGTTGTTATATGTTGTTATATGACATTTTAGCGGGTGGGTTTACAACTACTTTAGCAAACTGTGCTTGGGTTCTGTGAATTTCAATGCCAGGGTAAATGTTCTTATGTGCCTTGCCTGTGTGCACAGATCTGTACACCCAAAAAATCCTTTCATTGGAGTGTTTGAAAGAAGTACAAAATAAATGCAAGAACAGTGTGCTCCTTAACCCCCTCACATTACATCATTCATGTTTACCACACCTCCTATCCCCATAGATACAATATAAGTTGGGAATACACTAGTTAGGTCTACTATCTCTGATTAAACTGTCCTGCTTCTGGCCAATTTTACAGTGCTGTATCCTCTGGGATATCTTAATTTTTATTATTTATTTAATTTAGAAACACTTTATGCCAATACTAATAGATACATTAAACTAGTCAGTATAACTTAACAGAACAAGATGCAAAATAATGTAAATATTTA